AAACCCCCTTTGTGGCCAGGTGTGGTGGCTCACATCCGTAATCCCAGCATTTTGGGAGGCCAAGGTGGGCAGATCACAAGGTCAGGAGTTCGAGACCAGCCTGGTCAATATGGTGAAACCCCATCTCTACTAAAAATACAAAAATTAGCTGGGCATGATAGCGGGCACCTGTAGTCCCAGCTACTCGGGAGGCTGAGGCAGGAGAATCGTTTGAACCTGGGAGGCAGAGGTTGCAGTGAGCCGAGATTATACCATTGCATTCCAGCCTGGGCAACACAGTGAGACTCCATCTCAAAAATAAATAAATAAATAAATAACCAAAAAAATGAAACAAAACCAAAAAAACCCTTGTATCTGCTGATAATCAGAACATATATTCAGGGCAGCTTGAATCCCTATCTCTATAAAAAATAAAAACTAGCCTGGCAGGGTGGTGTGTGCTTATGGCCCCAGCTACTCAGGAAGCTAAGATGGGAGGATCGCTTGAGCTTGGAAGGTCGAGGCTGCAGTGAACTGAGATTACACCACTGCACTCCAGCCTGGGCGACAGTGCAAGACTCCATCTCAAAGAAACAAAACAAAACAAAACAAACAAATAAAAAACAGTGCAGTGGCATGATCTCGGCTCACTGTAAGCTCCACCTCCCAGGTTCATGCCATTCTCCTGCCTCAGCCTCCCAAGTAGCTGGGGCTACAGGCGCCTGCCACCACACTTGGCTAATTTTTTTGTATTTTTAGTAGAGACAGGGTTTCACCAAGTTAGCCAGGATGGTCTCAATCTCCTGACCTCGTGATCCGCCCGCGTCAGCCTCCTAAAGTGCTGGGATTACAGGTGTGAGCCACTGCGCCTTGCCAAAAGTTTCTGTTTTTTCTGGCCTATATATGGACCAAATAGGGGCTTGTGGACCTTGGCCATTGTCCTCAGAGCAGTACCATTCTGCTCTTGCATCTAACTTTGAGCTTCCTCAGGTCCTATCAACATATATGTAACTAGATTACTGAGGTCAGGGTGGAGCCCATTCACAAATAGGGCAGACAAAGCATTTTCTATGCCGGACAGGAATACCTTTCATTATTGCTCTGAGCTTAAGATTTTAACCACGGCATAAGGGTAGTTAAAGAAACAGACATGGTTGATTTGACAGCCTAACTTTTATAACTTATCTAGCTGGGTTTTTTTCATTGCATTGTCAAGGTGGGAAAGTAACCAAGCAAAGAAGTCAGCAGATTCAGAGAAGGCAGAGGAGGCTAGTGAGAAAGAGGGAGAACTTAGAAGCCTCTGCTTGCCAACCAAAAATACATCCCATTATTTCTGGGGTGTTTGGGATCCTCGCTCTTTTTTTTTTCAATGCAGTCTGGAGATGAGCAGTTTTGTTCAGGTTAAAACTTCCCCACTGTGGCCACCAAAATTCTAAATTATTTTTGGTAAGATTCACTCATTTCTCTAGAAGAGCATGAGTCCTGCGATGGAGTCCCAGACCCCCTGGATTTAAATGAACCCAGAATTGTTTGTTTTCCTGGAACCTTACCTATTAGAGGTCTTTTACTAAAACCATTTCAGTTTCTGTCTGACCCAGTCAGATACCTGAAGCCTCCCTACAGGATTCGCTAAACTTCCATCACAACTTCCAAACCCAGTCCAGATCAGCAAAACTCAATTAAAGTTCTGGAGTTTGTATGTGATACGGTTTGGTTTTGTCCCCACCCAAATCTCATCTTGAATTCTAATCTCCACGTGTTGAGGGAGGGGCTTAGTGGGGGGTGATTGGATCATGGGGGCGAATTTCCCCCTTGCTGTTCTCCTGACAGTGAGTTCTCATGTGCTCTGTTGGTTTAAAAGTGCGTGGAACATCCCCCCTCACCTCCCCTGCCACCACGTAAGACGTGCCTTGCTTCCCATTCGCCTTCCACCACAATTGTAAGTTTCCTGAGGCCTCCCCAGCCATGCAGAACTGTGAGTCAATCAAGCCTTGTCACCCAGGCTGGAGCGCAGAGGCATGATCTCGGCTCACTGCAGCCTCTGCCTCCCGGGTTCAAGGGATTCTCCTACCCCAGCCTCCTGAGTAGCTGTGATTATAGGCATGTGCCACCATGCCCAGCTAATTTTTTTGTCTTTTTAGTAGAAACGGGGTTTCACCATGTTGGCCAGGCTGGTCTCCAACTCCTGACCCCAAGTGATCTGCTCACCTCGGCCTCCTGAAGTGCTAGGATTGGCCGGGTGCAGTGGCTTACGCCTGTAATCCCAGCACTTTGAGAGGCCAAGGCGAGTGGATCACCTGAGATCAGGAGTTTTGAGACCAGCCTGGCCAACATGGTGAAACCCTGTCTCTACCAAAAATACAAAAATTAGCCAGGCGTGGTGGCATGTGCCTGTAATCCTAGCTACTTGGGAGGCAGAGGCAGGAGAATCACTTGAACCCATGAGGTGGAGCTTGCAGCTGAAATGGTGCCACTGCACTCCAGCCTGGGCGACAGAGTGAGACTCTGACTCAGAAAACAACAACAACAAAACCAAACCAAAGTGTTGGGATTACAGGTATGAGCCACCACACCCAGCTTAGGCTCTTTTCTTTATAATCACCCAGTCTCAGGTAGTTCTTTACAGCAGTGTGAGAAGGGACTAATACATCTGAGTGGGAATTACCAGTGATGACCTTCAAATATGCTTCAGGAAGCAGCATGCAGGGGGCTCAGTGAAATGCCTACACCTGTTTGCTCATTGCTCCTGGAGGCCATCATTAGGCCCAGCATAGGGAGAAGTCCTTCAGATCCTTCTGATGTCCTTTTGAAGGATCCTACTTCTGACATCAGATCTGCTGAAATATAAACTTAAGCCTATTTACATTTTAAAGAGTTTATTTGAGCATTCAGTGACACATGGATTAAGATGGCAGCAGAGGAAAGCAGCTAGTGCCTCTCTTAGACAGGAAGCAAAACCTAATCATGGATTTGCAGAAGCCAAAGAAAACAATTTTGACTGGTTAGAGTGAAAAGTCCCAAGTTAGAGGTTAGCTGGCAGTTTCTGATTAATATAGTGTATTAGGCTGGATGCAGTGGCTCACGCCTATAATTGCAGCACTTTGGGAGGCCAAGGCAGGTGGATCACCTGAGGTTAAAAGTTTGAAACCAGCCTGGCCAACATGATGAAGCCCCATCTCTACTAAAAATACAAAAATTAGCCGGGCATGGTGGTGGGCACCTGTAATCCCAGCTACTCAGGAGGCTGAGGCAGGAGAATTGCTTGAGCCCGGGAGGCGGAGGTTACAGTGAGCAGAGATTGCACCAGTGTACTCCAGCCTAGGCGCTAGAGTGAGACTCCATCTCAAAAACAAACAAAACAAAACAGTGTATTAGTCTATTCTCACACTGCTATAAAGAACTATCCGAGACTGGGTAATTTATGAAGAAAAGAGGTTTGATTGACTCACTGTTCTGCAGGCTTAACAGGAAGCATAACTGGGAAGCCTCAGGAAACTTACAATCAGGTGAAGGGGAAGCAGGTACATCTTTATCAAGGTGGCGAGAGAGCGCGAGCGATTCTCCTGCCTCAGCCTCCCAAGTAGCTGGGACTACAGGTACCCGCCACCACGCCTGGCTAATTTTTGTATTTTTAGTAGAAATGGGGTTTCATCATGTTGGTCAGCTTCCCAAAGTGCTGGGATTACAGGCATGAGCCACAATGCCCAGCCTAGATAAATTTCAATGCTTTTCTCCTGCTCAAGTCTTTAGTTCTCAGGCCCAGCCAAAAAACCCTAAAAGGACAGAGATAAAATTTTGCCTGCCCTACAGTATCTTAATGGCTTTGTTTCTCTGGAGACTCCTAATAATCCTAATGTCATTGCTTGCCTAGGACACACCAAAACTCACAATTCAGCAGGAAGCCAGGAGAGCCCCCATCCGAGCAGAATGACCCTCCCATCAACTTGGGCTGCTTGGAGCTACTCAGCTAATCCTCCAAAGTCCCAGGACAGGGAACTCCTCACATCCCTCCTTCCTAGAACCCCTCATTGCCCTCCTTCCTGGAGTCTGTCCCTCTGACAGGTGCCTGCTGGGCCTAGAAAGCATGTTTCTACGCGACACTTCTCCTTCTCTACACTGTGGTGCTCCAGGACGGTGACCATGGTTATTTCTCTTTGTTTCTCTCTTTTTTTTTCCCCCAATTCCGGTTTGTGAGGTTCAGTAAACACAGCCAGGCTGAGGGCTCCAGGAAGCCACTGACTATGCTAGAGCAGCCGTTTTCTAGCCCTCTGCTCTGCCCTCCCCCGCCCGACCTCCAGGCTGAGAGCCGAGAACCCCTTCCCAGGAAAGACAGTGCTCACAGCAGCTTTCTTAGAAATTGTATTGGTCCTGGAGAAAGGGAGGCAAGCAGCCCCTGCCTCCCGCTCAGAGTCCCCCCAGCCCTCACTGTTTCCCGTTGCCATTGATGGGGAGGTTCACATGCTCAGGGGAGGCCAGGAAAGCCTTGAGCTTGGGCCGGGCACTGAGGCGCGCCACATATGCGGAGAGCAGGGGGAACGCATCCAGGCAGCCGGGGGCCAGGACCTCATGGATCAGCAGCAAGTCCAGCAGGTTGTAGTCAGCGAAGGAGATCTGCAGGGCAGGCGGGCCGGGGACTCAGCCAGCGGGAGCCGGCTGGGGAAACTGGGGGCGGAGGGCCTAATCCCATCCCCTAGGTCTGCCCCACTTTGCTTGAACAAATGGCTCACACGTATGTCCATCTGTAAGCAGACGGTGGCAAGGAAGGCACAGGATGGGGCCAGATGCTCACCTGGTCTCCCACAATGAAGGTCTTGCCTCCCTGGTTCTGGGACAGCAGGGTCTCAAAAGGCTTCAGTTGCCCGGGCAGTGCCTTCACATAGTCATCCTTGCCCGCCTCCTGCCAGACACCACCATGTATCATCCTCCTACTCTCATCCCTCCCAGCCCCTGAGACGCCCCCTTTGTCTGCCCCAGGCCAGAGACCAGAGTCTCAGATTCTCCTCTGCTCGCTCCCCACAACCAGGCTAGTACCAAATCCTGTCCATTTCAGCTGCCAGTTCCTCTCTATTCCATTCTGCCTGTCCATCCTTGCTGGGATTTCTCACCAGATGACTGCAAAAGCTTCAGAGCTGGCTTCTCTGGAGGATCCTTCCAGACCTCACATTCAGACACAGCCCTGTTCAGACTTCTCCATGGCCCCCAGGGCCCTTAGGAGACTCCAAACCAGTGGGTTCAAGGCCTTCGGGACCTGGGCCTGCTCCCCGCATCTCTATCTCCTTACCCACCCCCGACACACAAGGAAGTGTATACACACACACACACACACACACACACACACACACACACTCTGCCTCTGCTAAACTGGTCCCAGGTCCCCAGATGTGCTCTGTGTCTGCATACTTTGCTTAGCTAAAAGTGCCAGCACCTCCATCCAGAAACTGGTGACAGATCCTCCTCCGCCTCTGGCTACTCCAGGAAGCCCTCGCCACCCCAGGAGATCAGAAACCACCAGTTGCTGGAGGTCTCTGTCCTTGCACTCTCCCCCACGACCCGTTACTTGACTGGTTCATGTCCCAGGCAATGAGGGTGCAGGTTGTGTCTTGCCCCTGGCCCAGAGCTGACCCAGCCCCTGCACCCTGACCCAAGGAGGGATCAGCCCGAGCCACGTGAGGGGTAGGGGGGTGAGGGCAAAAGAAGCTCCTTTCTTTGTTCAGCCCCCAGTGCCCAGCCCTGGTGCAGATGCTCACGTAGTTGGTGTAGATGAGGGAGGCGTATTTGCAGCGGAGGTCCTCCACGCCGTCATTCACCATGTCCACCAGGGCTGCCTCCCGCTGGTCCTTCCCATAGAGCCCTGGGGTTGGGTGGGGGGGAGCAGGCAGCGTGACTGGGCGCCTGATCAACACACAGTCACCAGGGATGGGCCAACCACGGGGCTGTCTGTGAGCCCCAGCCTGGGAGGAGGGGAAGAGGAAGTGCGTGGAAGGATGGGAGACTGCCACACAGGAGGTGCTCAGAGCTCAACTGGCACCTGAGAGGCAGCCCGGCACAGGCGAAGGGCTGCAGGCACCCAGGCTTGACCTTGGGAAAGCTACGCAACCTCAGTGGGTCTCAGTTTCCTCCACTCCAGAGGGCTGTGGGGCAGCTGATTGAAATAAAAGGGCTCCGGGGGCAGAGGCTTGCCCACCCCTGCCCTGGACTTGGAGGTTCAAGACTCACCAAGAGTGCGGCCCAGGTGACGCAGGAAGGTATTGGACTGGTACAGGGTGAGGTCTCCGTCCTGGAACTTGGGGAGCTGCCCATACAGCTGTGTGGGGAGGCATGGCTCAGTGAGGGGCACTGAGCTTGGCCGTCCCCCGATCCTATTCACAGCCCCCTAAGGCGCAGCACCCCCTCCCCTTGCCCGGGCATGGTCACTTACGCAGGAGGCTTTGAGAGAGCCCTCTTGCCAGGTCTCCATTGTCACCACCTCCTCCTTCCAGCTCTGGCCCTGGTCTGCCAGCAGCATGCGCAGGGCCGCGCAGCGGCCTGTGGGGAGGGAGAAGCACGAGATGTGGGGACCGGGCAGACCCCGCCTCGCAGCAACCCGGAGGAGGGGTCAGGAGTGCAGGGAGGGTACAGGGGAACAGAGATTCCACACAAGATTTCACACAACACTGGGGAGGGGAGCAGGCATGGCGGGAGAGGCGGGGCACCGGGAAGGAGGCCCGGGGTAAAAGTCACACGACGGAGGGATAAGGGGGGTTCGGTTCTCTCCGCGTGCGCGAGGGGCCGTGGGCTGCAGCCCTAGCCCCTGCCTCCCCTCCCTGCCAGAGGCTCCTACCTCGAACTGGGAAGTAGACCACGGTGTAGGGCGGCACTGCAGCGGACAAAGAAAGGTTTGCTGGAGCCCGGGGGAGGACGCCAGGGCGCGGTGCGCGCAGCCTGCCCTCCCCGGCTCCCATCCCTGCCCGAGGCGCTGCGGCCCCCTGAGAGCCGCTAACGGCACTGGGGACTTGCTGGGTACTCTGGGACCCCGTCCCGGGTCTCGAGGTGGGAGAGGGGCCCTACCAGGAGCCCGAGCCTGATGCCGTGGGTTGGCCCCATGCTGGGAGATCCGAGCCCCATCCCCCGGGGGCGCGGGCCGCGAGGACTCACTGATGGCACACGCGGCGGCGGCGACGACGAAACTCCAG